CTAGTTATAAGTAAAAGTAATTTTATAGTATTCATGTATTTATATTTAAATTTGTATTTGATTTTGATAAGTTTTTATTGAGTTATATATATTGAGAAAAATTCCAAATAATTTTGGGTACCCCTGTATATGTTTATAATATTGTTTATTTCTATGTTTTCTCAAATAAAGAACTCTAAGTTAATAGATATTAATTAATCATTTTTGTATAGATTTTGTACAGATAATTATAGTTAATTAGTTGATGGACTTAATAGACTTGATTAATAATTTCTTAATTAAAAGTTGGCTTTTAATTGGCTGGAGATTTTAGGCAATTGAAATTTCTGATTGATACTATAGTTGTAATATTACCTGGTTATTTTGAGAATTTATTATGCAATTCTAATAATGGAGTTGTTTTATTGACAAGTAATATTTGTAAAAAAAAAATTGTTTTGTTTTTTTCTATTGATAAGTTGTTATAAAAATAAATATCTTTGTTTTTTTTTATTATTTCTGTTTATTGGAATTATATTTCAAGAAATATACTTGAAGTAGTTTCAATCTTTTGCCAAAACTCTTTAAAGAATTTTATTTCTGAGTTGGTTATTACTTGCAAAATTTTTTTTTGAGAACTAAAACCTGTATTAAAGGATTTCTATAGTTTTTTAAGATTGTAAACTCAATCTGAAATATTAACAAGTTTATAGACTCTAGTTTGGATATGTTAGTAGTAAGAATAAACCACTTTGCTGAATAGTTGTCAAATAGAATGATTGTTGTTGTTCTAGATAATTCTGTTAAAATAACTTCTTTGTTTTCATTTCGATAGATTATAGATATATAGCATTAGGTTCTGTCTATTAGAATAACATCTATAAGTAAAATGTTGTTGATAATTGAATTGCATTGTTTGAAATTTGGCTTAAGTTTGGTTTGGTCATAGTTATTTGAATATGTTAAATAAATTAAACTCATACTGTTAATGATTTGTTATATGTGTTGACATGTTTGTGTTGGTTGTCATGTTTGTGTTGGCACATTTGTATAGATAATGTGTTTGTATTGTTAACATGTCAGGGTTATTGATATGCCTGGTTTGTTAGCGTATCTGTCTCAATATAGATATAATATTATCAAGTTGTTGATATACAAAAAAAACAATTAGTTATTAATAAATACGGTATTTTATCTTATTTTTATACTTATGCACTACAATTAAATAGTATCACTTATTAGATTAATCATTGGTTGATAAGTAAACTGCAATTAAAAATTTTCAAATATTTTGGGTACTACTGTATGTATCAAACATATGTATATGTATTGGCATAATATGTATATAGTATGTTACAGTATATATCAAAGGTATACCATAGAAAAAGGGTTTTATTTTTTCCTTAAAATTCTACTATTTTACTTAAGTAACTTGTGATAAACACATAAAACTAATCAAGAAAGAAATGAAAGGTCGCAAGATTCTCAAACAGGAATCACAAGTTCTGTCATAAGTACTTGCAAGCAACCATTGATATCTAGTGATAACTTGTGACAAAAAATATTAATACGATTACAGTATATAACATAACAGAAGTTAAAATCATACGATTATTCTACTTTATTAATGTGAACCGTGTAATCATACGATAATACCACTTAATTAATGTTACGAACTGAGTAATCATACGAGATTATTATTATACGAGTATATATATATGGATTTGAGAATTTTTTCAAACTCTTAAGAAATTTGCATAACCGTTCTTGCAAAAATGGGCTACACTCATTTTCTGATTTTCTTCTACGTAACTCTTCTCATGTCCAAGGCTCCTGCGCTGGAATTAATTAAATGCAACACTACCTTAAATGAAGATGGTAAAGTAGTGGGTGATGAATATTGTAAACAAGAACTCGGACCTGGATATGTGTGTGCCACTTCAAGTCCAGCAGGATACTGTATTTATGCCTGTCATGATAATCCTGAAGATTGCGCGAAAACACAATACTGTGACACAATAGTATCTCCAGAGCATCCACGTTGGCTATGTACTTGTGAGGTAGATGAAGATTGTCTTAAACCCTCTATCGGGACAGCATTTTGTAATAAAACTTTTAACCATTGTGAGGGCAGCTATCAATAATAAATTTTTTTATATATTATCCATTCATTCCCCCATTGTAATTATAAGTATTTTATGAATTCGTTTTATTATCTTATAAAATAAAGCAATACGGTAGTATATTTAGTATATAAATTTTTACAATAAATAAGAAAATTATTTTAATTTGTCATCAAATATGTAAATTATTTGGTACTATATGCCTCATCGTTAATACTGTATTTTAATGAATCATGCAAAGTTAAAAAACTGGTCATTGCTTGCATTATCTCGGATGCATTATATAAAGAAACAAGATAAAAATATTTTTAAGGCCTTTCTCTTATACTGAATCTGTCCCAGTTAACTTTTCTTTACTAGGACAAAACCCGGATGGATTTTTTATTAGGACGCGAACAGATCCATTTTAACCGTGGAATAGCAATCATGAGATATAATTTATGTTTCTACGACACTAGCTCTGCTATAGTCGGGTAGGTAAGTAAACATATATTTTGCTACTAGGGCCAACTAGGGATAAATAAGTTGATATATTTTATGACAGCATTAATCGATAGCAATTATGCGATATACTGTATAACAATATATAATATTAAATATTTATATATTATTTATTATAAGATATAATTAAAATTTTAAGTTAATAAATAATGCAACCAAGTTATTATCTAATTTATTTTTTTTTTTTTAACTGGGTGATATACACCTTGCTTTATTAAGTTTTGATTAAGTATGTACAAATTTATTTTATATAAATTTTTCACTCTTTTTTCTAAATAAAGCTTACTAAGTATTTTTACTTATTGTGCAGCTTATTGCCAAGTACTAATATATACTTAGCTAATTTGCCAAGGCTCTACCTGTTCCAAATAATAGTAGTATTGAAAGAATATATTATATTCCAGTTGATCCAGTCATAGCTGGCTTGTTTCATTATTTTGTTTAATCCCAGTATAAATTACTTATTCTGTTTTTCTTTTTTCTTATATATGTTTCATTTTTTTTTGTCTTTTCTTGTAATATTGTTTTTTGTTTCTTATTTTGCAAAATGGTCATATCTGTTTTTTTATTTAAGGTGAAATTCTATTAGGAATCTATCACTGATTGTACTAATTGTTTCTGTGTGTTTTTCTTTATCTGTATATGTTTTAATTATATAAATCAGTTTGTTCATAAGTGCTCATCTTGTGATATGATTCTTGATCTTTTGTGTCAATGACTCTTAATGTTCTTTGAGTTTTTTGGCAAATTCATGTCTGATCTTCATTGTTATTCTGCTGTTAATTTCTTCATTTATGATCTGGTTAAGTGTATAAAAAATATTTTGTCTATTTTGTTTATATATTATGCAATGTATATTTGATTTTGTTTTATGATTGCAAAAGATACATCTATTATTTATATATATTGTGTAGAATCTCTAGTGTAGTTTGTCTTTGGTTGGTAGTTCCAGGTTCTACAGTTTTAACTTGAATAATCTGATATTGTAATCTTCCTGATTCATTACTTCTGTTGTGATTTTGATAGGTATTTGTGTTTCAATAATTCTGTTCAGTTTATGTCTTTCCAGGTGTATTGGCTTGTAGTTGTAATTAGATTTTAATTTAGTATTCTCCAATTAAGGACATGTTTGATTCTGGAGATGTTTTTGTATATCTGTATTATGGTATTCTCTAGAATTTGGCTGTTTTACTCTTGAGTTCACCTTTGTTTGTTATATATTTGTACTATAATGTTTATGATGAAGTCTGTGTTTAAATCAGTTACTTCTTTGGTCAATTAATCTGCTTTGTCATTGTTAAGGTCTTAATTGTGGGTTTTTATTTTTATTTCTGTAAATTTAATATATTGTAAGTCTATGATATAAATAATTAAGTTGATTAGATTGCTGTTTTTGAAAGTTTTTATTTATATATAGTTTTTCTATATCTTTTCTATTGCTTTAAGTGCCACTTGGCTATCACTGTATATAATTATTTTGCTACCTGCTGGAGCTCGATAATAGGAAATATTCAATTCTTTCTTGAAAGCTAATTTCTGAAATTTGTGATATACAGTGTAGTGCAAAAAAAATCAGAATTATATATTTACTTTACTGAAACCTATCAAATTCTGACAACCTGGTCACGTGAACATCACGATTTTGTGACTGAATCGTAGAGATTCAATCACGATTTAATGGTTTTTACTATATCACGACCAAATCTCAGCCATTTAGTGGCGATTAAATTATTGTTTCAATGATGACATCGTTACCAACTCTTTTTAAAAAAATAGTGAACAAATCGTGACTATATTGCGACAACTTTTAGTTGCAAAATAGTGATGATG